TTCCTTTCTTACTGCCCTGTTTTTTTTAACATGTTATTGAACACTATCATTTTGATCTTTCAGTCCTAAAATCTTGTTAAGAGAGAACATTTTATTAAAGATATTGTCTCGAGATTTTTTTTTTTATTTTTCTAAGGCTGTTTGGGCGCTTGGTAATATTGCTGGTGACAATGCAGAATGCAGAGATTTTGTTTTGAATTGTGAAATACTTCCACCTCTTTTAGAGTAAGTATTTTGTTTAAGTTTATCACAATCAGATAAATACTACTTTTAGAAAAGAAAACTATATATTCCAATATTTCTGCATACATAATGAAGTTCTTCAGTGGTACTTTTAAATTTGGCTTACGGTTAGCCATGCCTACAGTAGCCTCAAAGTACGTAAAAAAAAAAAAAAAAACAGGAAAAATTTTCAATTTTTATTGGGTCCATGTCTTTTATGTTCCCTTCAACCATACTTAATAATAGTCATTGCCTATGCTTATTGTACCCAAACAGTTATTCTACAAAAATAGTAGTAGTTTATAATAAAATAAAATTCAAATGTTTCTATAGTGGGGAATATTTAATATTTGAACTGATGGTGTTTTCAGGATATAGGTAGGTTTTTCTGTTTGATATTGAAATGTTCGGACAACAAAGATCATAAGAGATTTTTCTGTAGGACTATAAGTTTTACTCAGTGATTTATATAGTGTTTTTTTCTTAAACTAATTTACACTTTTTTTTGAGAGAGGGAGAGCTTTTTGCTATAGGGTAAGTACACTTGCCAGAGATAGAGAGAGAGAGGGAGAGACAGAAAATGAGAAATCAACCCCCAAGGATGGCCATGCCGAAATCCCTTCTCTTTCATTCACCTCTTGGGATTTTGGGCATGCATCCATGCACGTGTGCCTGGTGTGAATTTTAAGCTACCAGGTCCGAAACTCAAACCATGGTCAACTATATCGCGGTGCTGTGATGTAACCATTACACCATCTGCTGGTCCCATACATTTTTTATAAAGAAATGATAAGGTTCTTTACAGAAGTGACAAAATTATATGAAAGTAAGTTTCTTTATACAAGTTGTTTAAATAAAGAGGATCTTTATTTAAGCTGAAAGTCAATAGCAAATAGTGGGGAAAAAGCTAATTGAGGAGATAGTTATTAGAAAAAATTTTACTCTGTAATTTCTGTCATTCTCCAGATTATCAATTGCATAGGAAAATAAATATCTGGAGCTAGTTTGCAAGATATTTTACTTCCTTAGAGAAAGTATCTTTCTGTGGAAAGAAGTGATTTCTTAGCATGACTTTGTTGAACTGACATTAATTGAGGACTAACTGTGCAGGCTACTGAACCCACTGTCTATAATTTCATTAAGTCTGGACATGTCCACAGTTAAAGTCCTGTGAGATTTGAAAATTTTACTAAGGTATGAAAGAAAAAACTTATTTAGAATTTATTATCAGAGTCCTTTTGAAGTCTATAATATTAAAAGCAACCCTTATTGCTCCAATTTGAGACTTTTCTGAGTTGATTCTATGATTTATAGATTAAAGTCAGCAGCTTCTCTTGACTTTTGGTTTTCTGTCTTTAGATCATTTTGTTATTTTGTTACTATCTCAAGTGGGCAATGGTTTATCAAATAGTGTTTTGTAGGTCTAGTCCCTATAAGTCCTAAGGAGCTTAGAAACTTTTAAATCATGACTGAAGAAAACAAACTGACAAGTAAAACTAGTAGAGAACAACAGTACCCAGCTTTGTAGTACTAGTTATAAAAATAATCTCAGAAAATGGTGTTAGACAGTTGGAAAATTGCAATGATTCATTGTGGAGTTTTCTTAGAGAGTTTTAAAGTTTCATTAAAAAAATAGGGAGAGGTGGGAACCAGCAGTTAGCGTAATGGCTATGTCACTGGACTCCCACGTTTCGCATCCCAGACCCAGTGGCTTAAAACTCATGCTGGGTGCGTGTGCGTGCGTGCCCAAGATCCCGAGAGGAGAATGGAGGAGAAGGGATTGCGGCGTGACCATCCCCCCTGGGGGGGTGATTTCTCGCTTTCTGTCTCTCTGTCTCTCTCTGTCTGTCTGGCGAGCGCACATGCCCTATAGCAAAAACCTCTCCAAAAAAAAATAGGGAGAGGTAATTTATTCATCAGACTCTCCA